AAGTAGTAATGATTGTATTCCAACCAAAATATTAGTTAAGTACAACTATAACAAACGAAAGTAGCGAGCTTTTAATCTGATAAAACATAAGTCTAACTATTATCTTCATACGTTCATTGCTTATCATGTTTCACAGCCGTTACATTCTGATTTATTAGTTACGTTAATCTTGATTGTTATACGGAATTTGAATTTCATAAAATTTGCTCCAACTTTGGGTTAAATTGAACGATCCGTTTCCCATATATAGGCACATTGAGAACATTACGTTTTCGTATTCACAAGAGGATGTAATTTTTAAAAGTTGTGAATGGAATTTGATCAAACGTGAGCGGTGAATAGAAAATAAACTTTATTCTTGGACAAGTTCTCTTAAGAATAACAATTATGAACAAAAAACAAAAAATATATCTTGTCCAAAACTACATTAATAAAAATTAAATAATATGGGAGCGGGGTAGCTCAGTGGGTGAGCACTGACTTCCAGAGCTCAAGGTCCCGGTTTGAATCCGGCGGATGATTATTAATTTTTCATCAGCCGTGTGTCGAACCTGGGGCCGGGAGATCTTCCTGAGGCAACCCAGTCTTTATAAAGTGGTGGGGGTACTCTTAATTAATTAAGGGGGAAACCATTGGACTTGTAAAAATAGTTCCTCACATTGTACTGAGCCGATACCCTTCCATGGGTTTTCAAGACTATATAAAACGTTTTAAGTGAAAATATATAAATAACAGAAAGTAAAAACAATTTGAAAAAAAAAAAACATTAATGAAATGAAAAGAAAAACAGAAATCAGGGAAAATAAAAAACAAAATGTTGTTATAAACATTATGGATTGATTCTTAAAATTTAAACTTAAATTAAAATATTGAATACTAAATAGTTGACCGTTGTATTATAGTGGAAGGAGTTGGTCGACGGTGGCGGTCATAAATGGATAATTCCTTAAGGTCCCTGAAGAAGACCTCCAAAGTTGGGTCGAAACGTTGTCTTTTAATAAACTGTTTTACCACTATTTTAGTCAATTTGTGAGCGCTACCCTGAACCATCTCCTTTCTCTTTACATTAAAATATTTTCATCAACCATTCACTTCAATCAAAATGTATTTCATAATTATACAAAGTAATTTTGGGATGTGAGAAGGAATTGGTAGAGATGGTATTTGAATGAGCACAAGGATGGGGCATGGCGGATATCAGATGACAAGGAATTCCAGAAGGCATTGGCTCGGGCAATAAAGGAATGTTCAAATGTTTTAGTTCTATGGGAAGGGATATAATGGTCGGAAACACGGGATCTTGTTTCTGGAAGTGGATTACAGGTTTGGACAGTAGGAGACTGTAGGAAGAGTACCAGAAGTTGATCGTTTGGAATAGAGAAGATTCAAGGAAATGTTGTCGGCCAAAGGAAGGGAAGAGCCTCTTTAGCTCGTCGTAAAGGTGGGACACGTTAGATCACCTAGAAGGACCGAAGACAAATCTTAAGAAGTAATTCATAAATCGATTCAATATGTCTTCGAGTCCCATCGGGATGCCATCTTACACTATTCAGCCTTAGTCAAAGTGGGGGAAAATAAGAGAGGTTTCAAGGAGCTTGCGGATAGGTTGTCAAAGTAGGTGGCGGGAGCAATGAAATAACTTAAAGGTACCTATTGACTTTCGGGAGATGAGGGCGATATGTGGTGTTCAGAAGTGATTTTTGTCAATAGCGATTCCTAGGTTTTTAACGCAGGGGCTGAAAGCGATAGGATGATCTTTGATGACTAAAGGAGAAAGGGAGGAGTTGGATTTAAGGAGAGAACTGAAACTTATAACAGTGACCTGAGTTTTCAGCCTTAAATTTTGATATTTTTAAAAACAGAAACTCAACCATTTATATTTTTTGTTTGTCCCAGGGGTGCCCATCCCCTCCAAGGTCGATGACACGAAAATCTACCTCTCTCCTCCTTCAACATATTTTATTGGTCACCTTTTCTTAAAAACAGAGCAAGTGAAGGTAGAATAAGAAAAGTCATAGATCATATACAATTACACTTGATGCTGCAGTATGTTTCACTTTTACTACAATATGAAATATATATATAATATATAAGGGGAAGCATTGCGATCTTGAAAATTTTCGAATCTCAGTTTTCAACGAAAATACAAGTATTGAGGTTCCCTGAGTCCAAATAACCAAGTCCCGCAAAACGGTCTGTGTGTGTCAACAGTCTAGCTGAAAAACGAAAAGTGGTACTCATGTGAAATTCCATATTTAAGGTTTTTATATGCTAGTGATGTTACAACAACTTTTTCGTCATAATCGGCTAACCGGAAGTGGCACTTTATATAATAGACTAAACACATTTTTGCGATTTTCTCGAAAACGGCTTTAACGATTTATATATATATATATATATATATATATATATATATATATATATATATATATATATATATATATATATAATATATATATATATATATATATATATATATATATAATATATATATATATATATATATATAAGCGCTTCAAGGAGAATTTTTCGCTCTCATTCCATCCTAGAGGATGGAATTTGATAAGCATTTTCACATTAATTATCAACTTACTTCAAACTTTAAGAAATGGTATGACATTTCATAAAGACTCGTTACTACCGTTTATCATTATGATTATTTATCATCTACTGGTAGTACTCCTATAACATGGATATATCTATAGACAGACAGACCGGCAGAAAGACAGGCACAGAATCAAATTTGTTTTTTAATCTCTAAAACGTAAAAAGTGAGAAGAAATTTTCGTTACAGAAAACAAAACTTTTTTAACATTCCTCATGAATAAGAACTTCCCTGCCATCGGTCTTGATCTCTAATATTATAACATTAAAGCATTTCTTGGTGTGTTAATTCTTTTTTTTTTTTTAGGCGCACGGCGTTTTCTAGAAAACTCATTGGACTTAACATTTTAAGAGTTTCTTTTTATAAAGATTTTCTGCTCTTTGGCACAACTGAGGTTGAAATAGTGTGGTTATTGGTCAAATACCCTACTACTCCCAGTTCGAAAAAAAAACATATATAATTTCAAAATAGAAAGTATGCGTATGTCTCAACCGTAATCTTTCCTGTTATCGTAGCTGAATTATCTTGTTGAAGAATTTCTTCACTTAAAAACATTAGTAAAATAAAGATAGAAAGGCTCGTCGCTGGGTGCTCCTCTCCTTTACATCTATCAATACATTACTATTACAAATCATTCCAATTGTAGACACTCTCTGCTTGTCAGTATTTCTGACAGATTCAGATGAAGAAATAAAGATTAAAAAGAAACATTAAATAAAAGAAAGAACTTAATTAATATCACAACTTTACAACACAATCTAACAAAACTAAACGATCGATGCAAACTTTGGAAAATTCCACTCGACCAAGACAAATCTCAACACAGCAGGGGTGCCCAGAAGGGAGTTTCATAGCGCACCTTGCGTCATCAAACTTTTTGAGGGGAGAACATTTTGGCGGGTTTTTAATGTTTGAGGGGAAGGGAACACATTACGACAATATTATGAATTTTCGAAATGATAAGGTTCAAAGCAAAAGACAAAAAAAGCCGAGAACAGACTGCAGGGTGTGTAATTGTATATAATCTACAATCGTTTTAAATCTAATATTACTTGCACTTTTTAAGAAGAAGAGAGAAATCAAATATCTTGGGAGGAGTGGGATGAATCGTTCATGCGCCATCGATCTTGGAGAGGATGGGCACCTCTGCAACTATTACTTTCACATTTCAACATATAACATGGCCTCCCATTTACCTTGACAATGCCGATATTCCGCAAACAGATAAAATACAATATCTTGGACTAACATTCGACAGATTAATAAAGAAAAGCATTAAACAACAGACTTAGAATGTCATACACACTTTTTTCCCAGACGCTCAAAATTAAACTTGAAACAAAAACCGATCACTAAAAATTATTTAATTAAGCCTACATAGACCTACGCTTCACAAATATATGAAACTACTAGTGTTACCAAAATGCGAGACGGAGACGAGTCTTGCAAATTTAGTCTTCGTCATGGTCTTGGTTTTTCGCAAGAGTCTCATAACTGTCTTGCAGTTACTTATTAGCTTATCACTATAGAGATATTCTTGTAATTTTTTAGATAGAAGAATACTAACTAAGTCCGAATGAAAAATTAGAGGAGTTATATGCAAAAGTATATTGGTCAAGTATTAGTAACTATTTTGCCTTAATTTTTATTTAAAAAATCTATTTTTTTACCAGTCCTGGTCTTGGTCTTGCAACAGTAAGACAGCCTTGGCTTGGTCTTGCAAAGTTCAAGACCAAGACCGATTTTGGGCAACACTAGAAACTGCCAAAACGACTTACATACGAAAACTCCTAACCTTTCAGTCAACAATTTTCAGGAGTATAACTAAAGCTCCATGATCGTCACAAACATTACTTTACATAAAAATCTAAACATGCCAACAGTTAACGATTATATAGGGACACAACAAAAAATTTAACGATAAGGTACATGGACATTCTTACACACCCATACAAGACATGGTCACAAATAACACTCCCGAAAACACGCCTTTGAAGGTGAAAAGAAGATAGATGAAAGATTTCCTCGATTAAAAATGAACTAAAATCAAATCAGAAAGGAGCTCAGAACTTCTCTCTCACAAGGCGATGAAGTCACTACCAGTATTCTTAGAGACTCCGTAATTGTCAGAACTTATGACAGATGTGATTGAAGAATTAAAGCTTAAAAAAATAAAATAATAATATTATAACTTGAATTTAAATATGAAAATTCTTAAATTTTATTTTTTCGTTTGCTTGTTTTGTACAATACTCAGTGGATCATATAGCTCTAAATTCTCATAAATTATAAAAAGTACCCATTGGGTTCCTGCATATATGGGGGGGGGGTAGATATGCATGTATCTTAAAATTAATACTGAACATCTTTTTTTGCCTGGTTTCGTCAGTGCGAAATGCTCATAGCTCGTATACCTTTTTTCTCATCAGCATGTGGTGAAGTGATTCCGAGTTCAACGGACAGCTAACGGCCGCGTGTCTTCAGGCTGTGACTCCGCTGTGACTCCACAGTTATGGACTCGTGACGAGAGGTCACCCGTGACCAGTACCCACCCCGAACCAGAAGAAGCTGCCGATCTGTCACCTCTCCCTCTTCACAGACCAGTAATTCCCTCATCTCATTGCTGGTCTCTTCAGTCCAACTGTCGGACATTAAACCCTCTTCTTTAGTCTTAATCGCTTTCTTTTATCGGCTCGTCGGTCACAGTTTTTTGGCTACAGGAAGAGAAGAAAAAATGGAGACCAAGCTAAATCGTTTATGGGACATTGTTTCAGACTTAAGTTTTAGTAAATAAAAATATGTCAACAATTATCTCTTATTTAATCATTACTTTTCTGCCATTACTAAATGATAATCACTTACCCTGAGCAGCAAGCGACTTGTATGCTTGGATACACTTTATTATTATTTATTTGTTATATTTTGATTGCCATGTGCTTCTTCTTATGTTAGATTCACCTTGTTGGAATTTCATTACAATGTGCCTGTTAAAATTGTGTTGTTACAGTTCCATTTGTTAGTTCTGTTTTACATTTAAGTACTTGTATTGACAGTCATTAATATCGTGCAATATGAACACAATAAAGCAGTTTCGAACCCAGCTAAAGAAGCCTGGTGCAATTTTTGGTCAAAGATCCCTAATACATACGAAATGGAAATATTTTGAATATCGCATTTATTTTATTCATTCAGAAGCTATTTTTTATATTTTTACATCTATTCGTTTTATAGGTACAATTTTTTATTTCAATTATGCTAACATTTCACATTATGAATCTCCGAATAACATATAGTTTTAAAAATATATAAGATAGCAGGTGTACCCATATGGAAGTGACATAAATTACGCCATCAAAATTTTTGTGGTCTGCAAATTTTTATGGGTATATGAATTTTGGAGGGAGTCACATTTTAAACCTATATTTCAAACCAGAAATCATGTTTTTGGGGGTTGTAATTTTCAGGAACTTTCAAACCAGAGTGCAAAGGAAAAACATGGGATAGATCTCAGTAAGAATAATTGTATATAAAATCCAATTTTCGAAATTCCACTTTCGCTTGGAAAGAGATTAAGAAGAGGAAAGAAATGAAATTATCGACCTTGGGTGGAGGGTACCCCTGTTAGTTGGTGCCAAAATAATTTAGTATACATACGAGGAAATAGTAGAAGGGTAGCCGCTGCCTACTTCTTCTTGACAAGGTCTTTAAATTTTGTTTTTATTTGGTATTTTACTTTTTCATTATTTTGTTTTGTCAGTTATTTTTTTTTAATTTAGAATTTTAGAAGATTGAGGAGATATCATTATGATTTGTTAAATATCTCAACACTACTTAATTATTCTTATATTGCTTCTCAAATTTTATAAAAAAAAAAAAAAAAACTGGACGATTTCTATTCTCGGGGGTAAAGAACACCATCTCCATTTTGTATTTGTTCAGGGAAGTTAATATTTCATAATTTTGGGTTATTAAAATTTGTTTCTTAGTTATTGAATTATTTAATAAAGAAATGCACTTGCTGTATTTTACCGCCGGGATAAAGATTTATTTTTATATTTTATACATCTAAGCGGCATTTGTCAGGATGAAAAAAAATCCACACAACGTTTTGAGTAAAATTAAGTCAATATTAAATGACCTTAGAAAATCTGGAAGCTTTGAAATAAATTTTTTTTCTTGTTTTCCTCACATATAAAACATCAAAAATTATATTTATCTTTGGTTTATTATGTTTCTATTTAGAATAGAAGTGTGATATTCTATTTCCAATTGTACTCTTTAAAAAAGTTTCTGAATTTATTTGTTTAAAAGCGACTAAAAACTTCTTAATAGAAAAACTGTTGATTATGGTTGAAGAAATAATTGTAATCTTGTGTAAAATCATATTACAGTAAATATTTTTAAATCAAACTATTTCGTAGAAGAGGTTTATAAATTTAAAACATTTATCTTATTTGAAATATGATATTTCAACAAGTTTTATGAGTCGTAGAAAACACATGTTGATGTTAGTGGTTTATCAACATGTACATAATATAAGAAGATAATTTGGTAGATTAGTGTGGGAGGCACACTCCTTTCTCAAGGATCTAGATTCTAGCTAGGCCGAGGGAGATAATTATTTATTCTGTTTTATCAGCCATGATTTGATCGTGAAGTTGGGAGACCCTCCAGGGGCACACCCAGCCTTTTAAAGAGTGTACTCTTAATTATTTTATTTTATTTTTTAACTTTATATCTTCCTAAATAAACAATGACAATTAGCGGGCCTGCTGTCGGTAAGAGTAAATGTAGTGGCTAGATCGGCTTGAGGGAGAGGAGATGGCCAGTGGCATCCCTTCCTGTCTTGAATTTAGCATCTTTTCAAGCGAAGAAATCCATCCCTCAAGCAGCTTCTTTTGAATCCCCTAAGTGTATTTTCGGGTATGTTAAACATAGCCATAATTTGTATAAGTGAGTTAGTATGTCCATGTAATTATCGTGAAATCTTTTGTAGTGTGTCCGTACGTGACAGTTAACTGTTGCCATTTGAAGATCTTTACGTAAAGATGTTTCTGATGTTACTTCAGTTATGGTCCTGAATTTTTTTGACTGAAAAGTTTATAGTTTTCGTACTTGGGTCGTTTTGGCTGTCGCGCGAATTTGTGGAGCGTAGGTCCATATGGCTTTAAGTAGGTTATTGAAAGTATTCAGTTTTTGTTTTAGGTTTAATTTTGAGCGTCTTGAGAGAAGTGAGTATAACAGTCGTAGTCTGAGGTTTAACGTTTTTCTTTTTTTGTTAACATGTGGGCCAAGATATTGTATTTTATCTGTTTGAGGAATTTTGGCATTGCCAAGATAAATATGAGGGTATGTTTTGTGTCGAAAACTGAAAGTAATTTTTTTTGCTTTTTGTATTTTCAATAATTTTTCATTAATAATTTTACAATCACCTGCCGTAACAATTAAAGTTAAAATTGTTGAGATGAATTTATGTCCCACAGAATATTATGTGTTGTATGGAGTGTTTTGTTGCAATAATGTTGCAATATCTTTGTAGACCATTTTTACGTTTACTGATTCCAATGAACACTTTATATTCTCGTTTCCACATTGATCGATTGCAGAATGGAAATCGATAAAATGATCGAAAGCCGGTTTGGATTTAAAATTAAATGGTAGATATTGTGAACAGTCGATTATACTGCCGTTTTAGTAGTTTATTTTCAATTATCGATACTGCGATGTAACACATGGATTATCAACAATTGAAGGCTAACTCGCCATTTCGTACCATTTATTTGTGACAATATCACTTAGATATTCTCTGAGTTTTCTCCTACTCATCGAGTTTTTTAGATTTACATAACAATTAATATCAAATAAATTTAATTTTCATTGTGTAAGAATGTTAATCAGGAATCATCCGAAAAATATATTGGAGTATTTATTTTGTTTGAGTACCAAATGCAATGAAAATATTCTCTCTTATACCATAATATTCCATTTTTTTTGTTATGCAAAACAAAAATATGGTTCCTTAAAAAATTCACAACTTCTTAAATATAGACACCCCTTAAAACCACTTGAGAAAATATGCATTCCCCTACAAAATTTTGATTGTACAATTTGCAGCATGCGATCCCCTTCAGGGAACTCTTACTAATACTATCCATGAAACCTGTACTGTAGGACTTAGGTAGTTCATTTAATCCTATGTAAAGTCCAGTGAGATACCAATTTACATCTGATGCAGAGAATTTCCGACATTTTACCTGACTCCTTAAAATTCAGTTCTTCACGCCAATATTACTTCATAACTTTATTTGTAATTTCAAAATGTTTAGTAATTCTTGTCTTTATTCACTTTATAATCAAACTATGGGTAAACACAATTGATATATTATTCATTACAGCTGTCTCAAGGAAGGATCTATTAGCTAAGTAGTAGAATGGACCTTAATATGCAGATCCCGTTTTCTCGTAACTCACCTCAATCCCTCAATGCCACGTAATCCTGCTACTCAAGAAGTCTTCTACACTTGACGTCAGATCAGATGTTACCAGAAGAGCGGAAAGGCGGTGGGATGAAAGGGGAAGGAGCAGAAAGTTGCAAAAGCCACTGGATCGGGTTGTGTTTTCGTAGAAGTAGGGACAAGACCCTGAATCCCAATGCGAGGACTTGCACAACGGATCCACTTAGAGGGCGGCGGGTAGCTTTGATGGCGCCGTGCGGTGACTGACGGGAAAACCTATTTTTTTCAAGGATTTAGAAAAATAATTTCATTTTCAGTATTGATAAGTACAAATACATTGTCCTGGATACAGCTGGATTATCTTAGCTTATATATCAGTATATTTTAGCTTCTTTCGGTTTACCTCACGAGAGCATAAAATAATAAAATTCCTTTTTTTTATTATTATATTTTTAAGGCAAAGTAACCCTAGTAATATAAACATATTTAATAAATTTTAAAACAGCATTATTGTATTTGACAAGAATGTGAGAAAGCATTGACGTAATACGGAAATGAAATCCCTTTGATCCTTCTTTATTGCAAAGGAATATAAAATTGGGCAGTGAGCTGTAGCTCAATCGCTGACTTTCAACACCCAGATTCGAGTCCGGCTGGTGGCAGATAAATACTATATTCTGTTTCGTCGGCTTTGGTTCGACTCTATGGTCAGGAGATCCTCCTGGGGTCGGTCAAATCGCCTTCTTGCACTGTTGACTAAGAAATAGTAGTACTTCCCATATAGCAATGAACCCAAGACCCTTTATGAGTTATAATCGTACAGGTTTTTTGTTTTTTTTATTATAAAATTATTCCTTAAATCTACATTTTTTTTTCTTATAATCCATTTTACATTCAATTATTATAAATATACAACATATTAGTAAAACAATATATACGCATATATCTTTGTAAAGCATATATCCTTACTATGACCTTTATAACTACAAAATAAAAAACATTCTGCTATAATCTTTACAGTAAAAAATAATTGTGGAGTTTTTTTTTTTTTTTTTTCTCTTTGGACTTTACAGACCATGTAGGTATTTAGCCGCCTAACAAGCCTGCTCCAACTCTGCCTAACTTTCCGGTTATCTGCATGCAGCTCTATTTAACCTTTATTGATTCTATCTCTCCATCTACTTTTTGGCTTTCTACTTGGTCTTTTGCCTTATATTGAGGCATTCACCCCGCCCATCTTAAACTCCATGCCTTCATTCATAGGGTATTGTTTGACCAATTTCTGTAATCAGTTCTTCATTAGTCTTTCTTCTCCACGTCTTAGTATATCCCAGATCGCTATGGTTATCGTACGGAGGATTTTCCTCTCAAATCTTTCAATTTTTTTTTCTGGCTAGTGTCCAAGTCTCACAACTATATATTAGAACTGGATTCATCATAGCATTTTATACCCTTAATTTGAGATTATTGGAGATTTAAATTTCTTGAAAGAGAAAAGAAAGCTCTGTTTACACTAGTTATAGGCTGCTCTATTTCTGACCGTTGGCCATTCATTGTGGTTATTGTGGAGCCGAGGTATTTAAATTTTTCTACTCTCGGAAATGATTTTCCGTTAACACAGATCCAGTTATTTTGGTGGCATTTTCGGCTTATATTCATATCTTTTGTTTTGTATTCATTTATTTGTAGGCCGATCTAATCCGCCTCACCTATCTGAATCTTAGCGAGTTTCTCAATGCCCTCTTGATTACTTCCTAGGAAAGCTATATCATCTGCGTATCCAAGGATTTTATGATTCATTCCGATGTGTACTCCTCCATTTTCCGGTGATGTTCTTATCACCTTCTCCCGGGCTAAGTTGTAATCCCGTTAGAATATTTTTTATTCTTTAGTATTACGGGAAATTGTCGTCATTGGAAAATGTAAAAATAAATTCAATTTTTTTTTCTTTAGAATTATTCACTACAGTCAATCATCAATCTACTATTCTTTATACTTATTGCAATATCGAAGTCGAACATTCAATATTGCTTTAATTCTATATACATATAAATCTATCTATAGATGTATAGAGGGTTTGAGCAACATAATAAGGTATATCATCAAAACTATTTTTTCTGCAAGTTCTCGGAATTGACATATAAAGTTATAATTGATCTAACTTTTGAAGCGTTGAAGATAAACTAATAAAATATTATAAGTTCTTGAAGAAAATTGAATTATTAAAAACTTTCTTCTCCATGACTTAATCATAGAACTAAGCAATCAAGAGTTAGCTAGTCGAATAAAGTAGAAAGCATGGGGTAAGTTTTTATTTTTCCAAATTAGCTATAGTTGAGGATGGGATATCTCAGAAACTAAGCGAAGTAGCGAAAACAATTATATAATAAATCATATTGCAGATTTTTTTGTGTTTAATTTTGTATAGAACGTCTTTGCCGCTGCGATGGATAGTTTTCCTGTTTTAAGGGGAAAAACGAAAAAAAGTGGCATTCTAGACCCCATCCCCCACATCTAGGTCACCAGCTGTGAGTGGGGACTTTTATTATGTTTATTGCCTAACTAGTCCAATCAATGTCCCAAAGTCAATAATTATGTCTCAGCCATTTCCTTCTATACTCAATTTTCGAGCATTCATGGTCTAATCGGAGACTTTCACTTTAGATAACTTTTGTTCTCCCTCATTCAATGTAGAACGTATAAGTAACATCAGCGAATCATGGTTATTCATATAAACTATATAAATTATCTGTTAGTCTATTCAACACAAACAATTGGCGAAAGTTCGTACTTTGTGTTCATAAACAACTATTCCGGCATTCAGCAAGAATTACAATTTATCTCGAAAAAGGAACATTTTTGTTCGGATTTAATACAGAGGACTTGTATATACGCAATATTTTTTCCGCGTCGAAATCATTGGAATATAATGATTCACTTTGGATTGGTCGAGTTTTGATACCTTCTAATTTTTAAAATGATTTACTAATGTTGTTGATCGACGTTAGAATTCGTCACTTCTCAAAGAAATTCCATGTCGTTTGATCTTCCTGAGAACCGGAGAAGGGCTATGTACTGTCGTATTATGTATAATGTGGATTTTTATTCTGACCACGAATTCTCCAGCTACTCAAAACTAGAGCTATGGGGAATCAACTGTAAATTAATCTCCGATTTAAGTTGAACTTTAAACAAAGAAAGGAATTTAAAAAAAGATATTCGTTTTTTCGAATTCTACGTATCCTGAAACTTGAAACCACAAATTTTGAGAGGGGGTTAAGTTTTTGAATTTTTTGGTCGATCACAATGGTACATTATTGAAAATATTAAACCAAAAATTAAATCTTTTTATATATTTTTTAAAATCATGGTTGTTCTTTTTATACTTTTTCTCCCTCCCTTGATTATTGATATTGCATAATATACAATATTGAATATAAAATAATGAACATAGAATATTGGTATTGTTAGATATCTCAAGAATAATATGTCTCTATAAACCGTTTTACCATCTATTTAAGTGGACAATTAAATTAAATCGTTTATTTGAACGATAATCATTTTCTTTTTTTTTTTTTTTTTTAATCGAGATAAGTAAGGATTCTTACGTATAAACAACCGAAGAATTTGAATACACAATTTTTTTTTTTCAAATCGAAACTGAATAACAAAAAACCTATAATTTTATTTCTAAAACCACCATTCTTTTCATGAAATGTAATAATACTTGCATTTCTTTGTTATTAAAAAAGATCTTGAAAAGTTTTATAACAGTTTGATTGGATATATACCTCTCTATTATATAAAAAAAAATTAATTACTGAGCCATATTTTATTTTACATACACGAAGTGAGACGGACAATAGCGAAAACACCAGCGGGACGGACGAATACACCATACTTTAATAAGAAGTATCGTGTTCTTATTCCCAGAATTATTTCTCTCTTATCATGGTTAAAAATTAGCAATTAGAATAATTATAATTACATAATAGTATAAATTGACAATTAGTCGTGATATGCAATATGTTTTTTAAAGAAATTAAATATTTGTCTGAATAATGGTTTCGTTCCGTTTATTTTGTTAAAAAATAACACAATCTGAACTACAGAATACATTTATTCAATTTGAGCAACGAGTAGTACAATTAAATCAACACATGAGGGATCTCCACCCCCCTCCCATCTGGTTTAGTGATATTAATATAATTGTTTCAATATAAATTTATTTTATTCTAATATTTTTTTAATCAAAAGGCTTGAACTTTTATTGCACAATAATTTTTTTTTTTCATTTTCCGAATCATACACCATTTTTTCTCCTCCAATCCATTCCAGAAATCAATCCGTTTTTCATATCCCATAATGGACCTTGAACTTCAATTCGTTCCCAAAGCGATTATTTTTAGTTTCAACGTTTTTTTAATTATTATAAAAGTTATCAAAAATTTCCGATTATCTGTGTAACAAATACAGAGTATTGCATGAATTAAAGATAATACAGTGGCAATAGAAATTGTAGTGTTTTTCACATTTCCTGAAAAATTGAACACTATGATTAGGGTTCAGTATAGAAACAAACGACTTAATTTAAAGTCCTATTCACGTAAATTAGTTCTAGTTTGTCTCTGTTGAGCATATTTCAGATTTCACCTTCCTCCCATATATATATATATATATATATATATATATATATATATATATATATATATATATATATATATATATATATATTGCAGAAGTACAAGCCTTTTGAGTGATAATTAATTAGCTGTTGTTGGGGAGATAGCTGATTACACAAATTAATGGAGACTGAATGAGAAGGCGTGCGGAGGTGGACCGCGGACCAGTCCCACGTGGGCAGAAGAGATGAAATATGAGGCGTTCAATCCACTCTGATAATGAATATCCATTGAATTTATTCCTCCCTTCTAATTAGGTGTCTGTATTTGACTGGCCATATCACAAACGGTTAATGACACGCTCAATTTTCTTTTGGTTCATTCATGAAAATATTCTACGACTACCATTATCGTGCAGTCAATGAAAGAGATATAGAGTGCGTGAGGGTGGACCTAAGCGATTCTTTCAGAAACTTGTTCAGGGTGCTTAGGATATGAACATTCAAAAGTACTAACGTTTAGGTTGTGAGCCGAGGGGAGAGAAAGGAGAGGGAATAAAGGTCACAATTTTTGGATTTTGCTTATATCTCGAGAACGGTTCAACGGAAAATTTTCGTTTTCATCACAATTCTAAACCGTTTTCTAGCTACACGCTCGGAAAAAGATTGAGCCTTTTGGCATGATCTACAACCCCGAAATGTCAAAATTACGTGGTTATATACGTCAAATGGTCCAATATTTTTGTAGGCCACCTTTTTTCTAGAATTTTCCATCAACTTATCATATGATCCAAGTGTAAAGCTAATGGGTATTTACTTTTTTTTAATACCTAATTAAATAGACAATGTTTGCGGATCCACAGATTGCAAACGGCTCAATTCCTAGAGTTTTCGTAAATAAAATAATTGTAGGCTACGGTGAAGTTATTCACGAAGTTTCAGGATGATAATAATAATTTGATAAAATGGGGTCTGTACCATGGACTATTAATTGGGTTGGCATATTTATTTCAGGTAGCGTATATCTCGGACGATGTTTATTAGAACTCTATTCATATTGTTTAGATTGTGGTAAAGTAACATTTTAATTAGGTAAATTTCATACATACCTTTTAATGCCGGCCGAGAACACTAGATTAATAAAAGTCAGATATCGATAAAAATATACCCTTCAAGTAGTTAAATGCAAATTAGTTTTTTATGATATTTAAATAAATAAAATAAAACAAATTAATATTTACTAAGCCCATGTTTCGTTTGTATATTACAATAAAGAAAAAAACCCAGTTATTTATGCTTAAATGTTGTTATGTAAGTAAATACATTTAAAGAAACTTGATGTGATATCTAACAAAAAGAAGTAACTCCGATATCCAATATTTTGCAAAACAACAAAATGATTTTTTAAACTTTGCCATTGCTAAAAGATATATTTGACAAGTTGATCTGAGTTCTTATTAGCATTTTATTTTTATTTTTATTTTTTTGTAGAAATTAAGTTTTTGAATAAACATTGACTTTAGCCAAACGATAAATATTTCGAAAATAGATCTTTGCCTATTAACAGTGTGTTTTTATTAAATAATATAGTGTTTTAGTTTATTAATTTTATTTACCTATTTTTATTTATTTTTTCAATAATCTATTCTAAAATAAAATATTAGAATTATTTTCAATCCACAAAATTGTTTTTTAAAAGTTAAAATTTAAATTGAAACTTTCGAGAAATCTTATTGATATCAATTAATCAATTTTCAGCACCACTGAAAAACGGAAATGGATATTTTTAAAATATAAAAGTTAAAAAAGTAATAATAAATAAATATATTATTACAAAACTGGGTTTGGACGGTGAACGGTGGAGGGAGGTGAGTAACAAGCGATTTGTGGTGTCGGCATCGAACCTTCGGGTTCGCTAAGCCTTATTATTATTATTATTATTACAAAATAATGATCATACAATTTTATTTATTAAAAAAAAATAAAAAGCCAGCAAAATTACTTGGTTTAAATAATGACATCATGAAATTTAAAATTGTTAAAGGGAGGTGTGTAACAAGCGATTGGTGGTGTCGGCATCGAACCTTCGGGTTTGCTAAGCCTTATTATTATTATTATTACAAAATAATGATCATACAATTTTATTTATTAAAAAAAAATAAAAAGCCAGCAAAATTACTTTGTTTTAATAATGACATCATGAAATTTAAAATTGTTTTGCGTGGTTAACAGCAGACATTACTAGCAAATTTTTTTACTAATCATTTCATAATAACATGAGGAGGAGCAGTAGTGCTTATGTATGTTTTTTTCGGAAATGGAGGAATGAGAACTATAGGCCCTTCTCTTTCTGTTCAAAATTTCTGTACATTTTCTAACCACTTCTTTTCCGGAATCGTATTCAACTTCATGCAAGAATAATTTCAGCTAGGAAAGATCGAAAAAATAATTGAATACTACAGATAAAATCGAATTTTAGGATTTAAAAAAGTAGATCCAGATGTATCATCTATTAAAACGAAAATTTGGTCAAATGTACAATATTTAGGTTCTGGTACGAATTTATGACACATTTAATTAACAATTATAATACGAAAAATTAGGAAAATTTTGAAGTTATTCTTTGGCTTAGTTATACTCGAATAAAGCAAATGAAAAGAAGTATTTCCTTCGGGGTAATTGGTGAAAAGTGTAACGCAAATGTATTTTACTTGCTCAAACTTATTTTCTTTGACGACTTCCTATGTTTATTCCAAGCCGAATCCCTAAGAATAAGAGGACTCTAGCGTTGGTTGTGTTTCCCGCACTGGTGACTTGAGTGGAGGATGTACAAGCTGGCCTTCGGATAGCTACGTATTTGGAAGTCCACTGCCATCGCAATTTGCATAGAGCTGCCAACAGCCAACCTGATAAAGTGTAATACCAACTGCGGATAAGTGGCTTCTCGCTTCGGAAATTCTGGTGAAAACTTTAATCCTGAAACAAGTTAAGATCCTTTGTTCAGTCAATCGAATAATCTTATATATATATATATATATATATATATATGCTAGTGGACGGTGCTGAGACTGTCGGTGTGTCCCTGGCCTGACCGAAGCTCTATTTTTTTACAAGTAGGTTAAACATTTATAAATAATTATTATTAAAGACACATGGAATCATTATTGTGTAGCGATTGAGCTATTTGTAGTTCTAGCTTTGAAGAGGATCCCATCGTTGACTTATAAAAAGAAAATAAAGGGATCGAAACGTCAATAAACCTATAAGAAATGAACATTCAATAGTTTATTAAATAATTAATAAGTGATCTTATTCCCAATTAAATAGTTAAGTTTATATATATATATATATCAGCATTTCGAACTAAATGCAGATTCCTTGATAGGTAATATTTAACTGACAGTAAGGGTTGAATATGGAAGCAACTTAAGAAAGTTGTGAAGGGCAATAGTTTTTGCTATAACCCCAAATTAAAATACTTCTCTTTATTTAATTTATGGGTAATATTTGTTAATTCTTAGAGAGAAAGATATTGAGTGAGAGTGAATTTCCATTCTCCGAAGACATTATAATACTGAAGAGAAGAATAGTTGGGATGGTTAGTCAAAAAAGAAGGCAAACATTTATTTTTACATATGCCGACGTTTCGACCTGAAGTTCAGGCCATCATCAGGGCTGAACTTCAGGTCGAAACGTCGGCATATGTAAAAATAAATATTAACATTATAATACTGTTCAAGCAGTTCCTGCGAGATTGATGCTGTGATGTTTCTATTAATCTCTGATATGTCAAGCATATGTAACTTTTTAATAAATAAAAACAATTATTAAACTTACTGAAACAAAAACAATAACATTTAGTTATGTCTCTCACAACAGTGATCTCATAAATCATACATTGTAGATGGAAATGAAATAGAATTTTCCAAATCAATAAATTTGCTTCATGTGAGTATTGAATATGGCCTGAACAAGTAATAATAACACTGAATAAAGTTTTCAAATCTCAAGCAGACTTTAAAAGATCACGATTAATGATGCTACTATATTTTTGTTGCCCATTATTTTAAGACCTCATAAATGAGCCAAAATGAAATAGCAAAACGCTTTAAATGCCTATGTTATATTTATTTTCGATTGTACTCCAGAATAGAAAAAACTGAAATGGCTTGAGATCAACAAAAAGGTTTGTTATTTTTAATTTTTTTTTTCTATTTCATTTTAAAACTGAATAAATACATTTCCCAAAAGTTGTTTTCTTATCCTATCATTTCAACGATAAAGAAAATCATTTAAAGATGATTACACATCTTCCCGAGCAAATATTCGCTGTGGTTTGTTCAATTATTGAAATGTATTTACCACCATTTGCACAAAATATCTCTTACGACTATTATGACTTGAAGCAACTTCTGAGTTCTTTTTTTTTCCTTCCCTTTCTCGCCTTTTAGGCTATACGGGGTTTTCGCAGTCCAAGAGGTGAAGGCGAGGGAGGAGAGGGGAGGGGGGAGTTAATGCAAGAGTTAAAAAACCCCACTCGGATACACTAATCTAATTTCGATACTGAGTACTTTTAAATCGAAATATTATAAAAATTTAGTATCCTTTAATTAGCAATGGACTCCTCCGTGAATCTCGTAAGTTGGACCTTAACAACAAGGTTTTACAAAATCGTTTCTTTTATTAGTATATTAGCAAAGTGTAGGATATAGAATAGGATTAGAGAATAGGATATAAGAATAGGATTAGAGGAAGAAGTAATAAAAATGAGTATATATATATATATATGTATATATATATATATATATATATATATATATTGTATATATAAAAATGAGTATATATATATATATATATATATATATATATATATATATATATATATATATATATACTCATTTTTATTACTTCTTACTATAATCCTATTCTTTTCCATTCCGTGGGTATTAACGGACGAATGGTAGAAGACTGTAAAAGGTACGAATACTCTTTGCCGTTGTACCACCAATGCTCTATGGAAATGTTAGTGAAATTTGAAAAGCAAGTGACTTTAAAGTGAGGTAGGGAACCACCGCGGAACTGGCACTGACGGCACTTTGTATGTTAACAGTGCAATATGACTAAGTGGAGAAAGTGCACTATAGGAGGCAGATAGAAGAAGTCACCGCCGCTTATGCTGATTAGGCTGAAAGCGTGTCCATCACTACGCATCTTCTTGCCATTCCACGCACGCCAGCGTGATTCCCCCGCAGTCCTATCGTCTTTTTGTTGTTTCCTTGCCCACCGCTGACGTGTCCAGCTATGTCCGGTTCCATGGTCAAGGCGAAACCGCGACATAGTGGCCTTCAGTTCCCAGACAGTCATCTATCTCACCGCAAAGCACGATTCGTAGTAAAGTTCCAAGTTTACCCGGGGAATCCTCCTTCACAGTGTTCTTCTGCGGAATATTTTTAAATTTTCATTTACAATAGCATTATTTATTTAATAGTATTAATTAAACAATACTACAATACTATATACTATACTACAGTAATAGTAATAATGTACAATAGTATTGTACTGTTACGAAATTGAATATACACATTATCAATTGAACAATTCTTCAGTCAACGTGAAGGAAGTGGATTCAAAGATATTGAACGTATGGAGGTCAGTGCTCGTGCATCTGAAAATCTAAATGTTCAAAAAACCGCTATGGGAAGAAGATATCCATTCTACACTCTGTCCTTGAAATTATTTATTAAGATCGATAAAGAAATTTTTGTATTCGGTTTCATAATTTTATTTGTGGGTAACAATTTGAAAATAGTATTTTTCCTTTATTAGTCCTTTATTTATTACTTATAAATTATACATCATATTTTTTGTATTACTATCATTTTTATTTATTACGAATAAATTAGTATTAAGAATACAAAATCTCGTGTTTCCTAAAGATGAATCATAAATTGTACCCAATTATTTCACTTATTTTCAAACAGGTGAAGAACGCTTAGCACTACAGACCATAAAGATCTTTGGCCGCGAGATGTGGTCTCCTTACAGACGTGTGATACTTGAGGGAGCTCAGATAGCCTGGAGGGGGTCACCCAAACTCACGTTGCTAGAAACCATGGTTTCCATGGTGCAGCAGCAGGCCACCCGTAGCTACATAGACGATCCCTTTCGAGCCAATCTGGCAATGTCCTTTCCACCGACTTTCTCGGGTTCAAAGACAGTGACAAATCGGTCTAGATCCATGGATTATGGCTGCTCGGTGTCAGCAGGCGCACGAGGATCTATATTTCTTTCCCAGAAACAGACCGTCCATGGACCGATATATATATAATTTTTCATCCTTTTCAATTCAATATTAGACCTCGGTGCAGACCCCTTCCTGTCGAATTATTAACATCCGTCTAAAACTTCATGAATGCCATCTTCTTATCGTAACATGCAATATTTTTATGTGTAGGAATGTCTTAGAAGTGGGACGTTTTCTCATTAAATTATATATACTAAACCATTCTGTTTTCTACTTGAATTGTAATAAAATTTGATCATTAAATCCAGAAAAATATGGCCCCTAAAAATATTGGGTCGGTTAAACTATATAACCTCGTTGTTTTGAGATGATGAGGTGTAGTTCATTTTAATCGGCCTAATACTTTATTCGGTAGCATTTTTTTTTTTTTTTTAACTTGATTCTTCAACACACACCTGTCAGAAGTTCCGACAATCAGCGAGTGTGATGTCAAGATGTAGAGATTGGTCTTGGAATAGGCGTGAGGGAGAGGAGTACCCAGCGGCGTCCTTCCTGTCTTGAGCGTAATATTTATAGTTAGTGGAGGAGATCCCTCATCCAGCTTCTTTTAAGCCTCCTTCGGGTGCTATCGGGCATGTTAGTTGTGGCCATGCCTCGAATCAATGAGTTTGTATCTCCGTGTAAGTTATTATGAAATCGTTTGTAGTATGGTCGTATGTGGTCGTTAACTGTTGGCATCTGTAAGTCTTTATGTAGAGTAATGTTACTGACTTACCAGGGAGCTTTGGTGATAGTTCTGAAAGTTTTAGATTGAAAAATCTGTAATTTACGTAGGTGAGTCTTTTTGGCTGTCCCATATATCTGTAAAGCGTAGGTCCAAATAGGCTTGAGTAGGTAAGTATATGTATTCAATTTCTGTCTAAGTTTTAATTTCGAATTTCTTGCAAGGAGTGAGTACAATAGGCGTAGTCTTAGGTTTAGAGTTTTTGTTTTGTTTTTAATATGTTGGCCCCATGTCATTCTTCTGTCATAGGTCAGTCCAAGATATTGAACTTTGTCTGTCTGAGGAATTTGGATATTGTCAAGGTAAATAGGGGGGCAAGTTTCACGTCAAAAGGGTAAAAGTGATATGTCTAGGTTGAGTCGAATTTTCCAGAGTTTGCACCAGTCGTAGAAATTGTTTAGGTGATATTGTAAAGTCTGTGAGGCGTATGTTGAATTTTGATGTCTTGTCAAGATTGTTGTATCGTCTGCGTAAGTCGCGGTCAGAATATCGAGAGGATCTGGAATATCATATGTGTAAATAATATACAACAGAGGAGCGAGTACTGACCCCTGAGGCACTCCTGCTAGGGCTGGTTTAATGGTAGATAGTTCTGTAATTTGGCAAACAGAGAAAAATCTGTCAGAAAGAAAAGATTGAAGAATAAGATAGTGGGTTGGAGGGAGTATAGTCTTAAGTTTGAAAAGAAGTCCCTGATGCCAGACTCTATCGAACGCTTGAGCAACATCCAGAAATACTCCTGTAGCATATAATTTGTGCTCTAGTGCTGTCGCAATGTAGTCTGTCACTCGGTGTAGCTGATGAATGGTTGAGTGGTGTGAACGAAATCCAAACTGATGTTCAGGTATTATGTTTTCAGTAGTCAGTATGTCAAGAAGTCGTTTGTAGAGAAGTTTCTCAAAGATTTTAGAGCATAATGGGAGCAAGCTGATGGGTCTGTATGATGAAGGAAAGTCAGTGTTTTTGTTAGGTTTGTGAATCATTTTTATGAATGAATATTTCCATTGTAAGGGGAATTTAGTCGTTCTGAGTATTGCGTTATAAATTGATGTTAGGTATACTAGGGCTTTCCTTGGCATTTTCTGGAGCACTTGAGCATTTATCAGGTCATGACCGGGAGCTTTCTTTTTAAGTAACTGTCTGATTTGTTCTGCAACTTGAGTGGGAGTGAAGCAAAGTGGAGGTAATGACAGTTGTAAAGGAATGTCTAAAGTGTTTTTTACATGTCTTTCGTGATCAGTATTAGAGAAGTCAGTATGTGGTATGAAAACAGATAAAAGATGGTTGGCAAAGAGCTCAGATTTTTCAAGGTCTGACACAGCCCAGGAACCATCTACGTTTCGGAGTGGTGCTGACCAGTTTGTCAGATGGGAGTCGACCAGTCTGCCAAACTTTGCGCGCCCTTCTCTTTGCTCTGATCAGGTCTCTAATGTACTGCGGATAGATTGGAAGAGATGTATTTCTGCTGGGTCTTGGTACAGATGATGACCATACAGCCTGTTGTAAGCTGATTGTGAACATATCAACAGCTTTTTCGAGTTCCTCTTCGGTCTTAAGGGACATTGGGATTGATAGCGTCGAATTTAAGTAGTCGCTGTAAACTTCCCAATCGATTATCCTATCTGTAAGTGTTGGTTTTTTTGATGCAGTACGAGGCTCATCGCATGGTATCAAACTGAGAAGAGAATGATCAGAACAAAGATCAGAGCTTGCATTTACAGTATACGGCACTGTCCTGAGTCCTTTAGTAATGAAAAAGTCAAGTAAACCTGGTGTTTTCTGTCTTGAAGTTGGCCAGTAAATAGGTGTATCAGGTGAGATCGTGTTTAATGAAAGCTGATCGATGGCAGACTTTAGATTTCTTCATCTAGGAGTACAGAGTCGTGCTCCCCAGGACTGATGTTTGGCATTATAATCACCACCTGCAATAAAACACCGACCGAGATGTTGGAAGAAATTGTAAAACATTGCAGATATTAGCACGTATCTCGGAGGGCAGTACACTGCAGCGAAGGTAATGGTAAGGTGCTGGGTATACAGAGTAATTGCTGTGGATTGTATGTCAGGTGTAATGGGTAATTGTAAAGGGTTGTATTTTATTGATTGCTTAATCAGTATTGCCGTACCGCCATGTGCCGTCTTATCAGGGTGGTCAGTTCTATATATTTTGTAGCCTGGAATGTAAAATTTAGAATGTGGAGTCAAGTGTGTTTCAGTGACGAGAGCAATGTCAGTCCGTTTTTCATGTAAGTACATGTCAAGTTCGGTCCTGTGTTTGTTTATACCATTTGCGTTTCAGAGAAGAACAGACATGGAGCCCACTGTCAGCCGATTAGTAGCCATAACTGGAGGATAAGGCTTGTGCAACGTGAGACAGTTCTTGGAGAAGGCTAAAAAGAGGCTGGATGAGGTTATTCAATCCACTTACCAAGTTGAAGAGCTGAGCTGAAGCCGGGTGATTGTAAGTCGGTGGCGGCGGCTGAGTAATGCCCTTTTTTTTTCTGGATGCTTTGGCTGGTGAAGATGATTTTCTGGGACTTCTGTAGGGGAAGTTCGCAGTTTTGGTCCCTGATATTGGGAATTGGGTTTTGAAGAACCTGAATTTGCGGTCTGCTGACTTTGCGGAAGAGAAGGAAACTCGTCTATACCTCTGGGGGTGCGCTAGTTTGTGCTTTTTGGGGACTATGTATGTTTTTACTGAAATTGCGTACTTCCCTCAGTTGTTTTAGAGTTGCATAACCTCTATAATTTGCTGGATGGGATCCGCTACAATTCGCGCATGTTGCTGCGGTCTCTCTTGTCTTGTGCTATCATGTCCTTGGCCACATCTCACACACTCCGGAGAGTGATTGCAGTAAGCTTTCGTGTAGCCATACTGCTGACAACGGGTGCACTATGGAGTCATTCTTTTCTTTCTCGGTTCTTCGATTTTCACTCTAGTATAGTATAAAAATTTAATATCAAAAATTTTTTCATTAAATGTGGCTTTAGAGATATCGATAAAGAACATGGGAAGTGGATTTTTATATCTGGAAATAACGTTCACAATACTTGTGGCATCGTAGCCTAGAAATTTTAATTCGTATTTTATGGTTTCAATTGGAGTAGCATGGTGTAAGTTTTTTAATACGATTCTTGGATTTCTATCTTCTATTAACTGATTGGTATGGAAATCGGCACCTACCTGTCTTAAGTTAGCTACTATACGTCTATATGTGTCAGAGTTTTCAGGATATACGGTTACTCCTCTTGATGTGGATTTTAGGTTAAAGCTATTCAAACCTCCTACATTTTGAAGAAATGTGACCAGAACGTTGTAGTTCTGTACATCATTCA